GAAGGACGTCAATTAGGTCTCATCTCCTGCTAAGCGAGTTTTCAGTGTTGAAAGCCACCATGCTAAAATGACTTGATTCACTTTGACTAAGTATTTGCGATGACGTATGCTCGCAATGTAATGTAAGAGCGGGCTGTGACACGCTTTGTCTGAACCCCCTAGAATGTCAGCGAATCCATCGTCCTTTGTACACTGCTGGCCCACTGGTGTTGTTTTATCAAGTCAACTAGAGAGTTTCTTGGAATATTCTCCCAGACATCTGACAAATAATTACTTTCTATTTGCGATCTCTGTACTAATCTCCTGCTATTAGAATAAAGAATTTGTGTTAGTACTGTGTGCACTTTATGCTGATTGCGGTTAAAAAAAGCCTCGATACAAAATATGGACATTTTATACTACAAATTTTGTTCTTCTTGTTTCGATGAAGATTACATTATGGAGCTGTAAAACTTCCTGACTCTGTAGATCAAAGGAGTCCATCAACTCAATTGAATCCCAGCCGTTTCACTTTAAACGATCAGTTTGCTTATGCGTGCGGATTGTAACACATGGTGGTGAATATGATTTTCAAGAGACAACATCTCGGCGGGTTCGTTGTGACGTGATTATCTACTTGTACTTTCCCCACAAATCATTGCCAATAAATACACGTTTCAGCAGTCGCAAATGTTATATTCTGCTTTCGCTAGTTCGGGTGGTGAAAAGATCAGTGTGGCCATCAGGTTGGGTGTCCCAACCTAAAGAGTCAGCAGGTAGTGTCGCTAGAGCTCACGTCAGACAGGATTGGTAGCCACACATTAATCGCGAGCGTTAAATCGGATTCGAAACCATCCAAGCAGCCCACCTAACTAGTTTCCTACAACTCCACTGATGAAACTGGTGGAATCCTTTCTATACAGATAATTAAGTGGTCATTAGTTCATCACAGCCTCCATTATATGAATAGTGGATCGAAATACAAACTAAACTTGAAGTTTCATAGATAAAGAATATCCTTGTGCAATATGATAAAACCAAGGCTTCGGTAGCTCGAAATCTGCTAAGTAGAGTCAAAAGCATCGCGACCTGTGTCGACTATATGGAGAGCGAAACCTCCAGGTTGAGAAAAAGATTTAGATGAATATGAATAAGCACTGTCTGGTTTGTAATTTTTTTGATGAAACGGTCGGTCAGTAAACTGCTCATACTCTGTTCGTGGTTAAGTTAGACTGCGAGGTTACATGCGCTCATTATCTGTGGCTGCCGGTCTAGGTAAAATCATCCTGGCAGCTGATCCGATACAAATGTAAACCACTTATATCTGCTGAACCGCGTCATATATTTGGATATGCCGCAAATAATAAAAATCTCACTTGAAAGGGAATCTCCTTCCGATGAAGTGTTACTTTTCCTTCGCTCATCTTAGTGTTATCTCAAACAAGCTTTCACAGGTTACTTAGGTACAGTCCCTCAAACAGAAACTCCCCATCTGTCTGAAGTGGGCGACTTGTATGGTCTGGTCGAGTTGATACAAGTAGCGTCTGAATCAAACTACAGCTGAGATATTTTAAATTACTGTTTGTCTTTCATGTTTATCCCAACTCACCGAAACAAACACGATTTCACTCGATTCATTGCAACAATGCTGTGCAGATTTTGGTGACTTAAGATTCTATGACCCTCTCTTGTAGTTGCACAAAACAGAAAATTTTTATGTGAGAATAATTGTAGATGACTTCATTATAAGACGCAGTAAAAGTACGCATAACACACAAGTCGTCTATTTTGTTCTGAGACATAATTCCTCCGGGCATTTCAGCTAAGCTATCTCCGGACTAAATCTGGTCACTGTTACAGTTTATTAAACAGCAGTCGATATTGTTGTCTCAAGGACTATCAGAATATACATTTACAGGCTTGAAAATTGCACTTTAAGACATTAAATAAACTAAATGTTCCAATGTGACTTCGTCGAATTACTACAATTGTTGTTCTAAAATGGGAGGTCAATCAAGGAAAGCAAGTCAAAATGATTTATACAGTTTACTGCCCTCTTTCGTACAGTTTAATAAATTTGTCTGAGTCAGCTGCGTTGAAGACGTGTTTACTAGCAACATCCAGACGCCACATAACGTCGTGAAATTGGTGATTCTCTTAAACTATGGAATTGACCAGTTGCCATGGATACATAGACAATTAGGTGTACTCCTGAGCTATTTCTAATGTTGTGCAAAACATTCGTCGGACCACTCCTTGAAGCGCACAATATTATTGCACTCCTACTGTTTAGAAGAGACGCGAATCCTTTAGAAAGGGTGCAAAGATGGGCGATAAAGGAGTGGTTTTTTCCCGAAACAAAGCATGTGACTAATGGCTAAAGAAATTAGTCATATTCACACTTAGATACCGTTGGCTTAGGAGGGACCTGATTACTGCCTATAGGATCACAAGCGACCAGAATCACCCAAACAAAGGTGTTCCACCATTAAGTATGTGTGGGCTTCCTAGTGGAAATCCCAGAAGGATAACTTACCAGAGGGGAAAGAATCAGCTGCGCTCCCATTTATTTTCACTGCAATTCTGGCGTCCGTGGAACTGCTTACCCAGCGCCGTTCGTAGACAGCTTTAAATGAAGGCTGGACAATCATGCAGCGACACAAGGACTGCGTACAAATGGCCTACCCTCTTAAAATTTCATCTACTAATAATGGGCAGACATCTAAATTCGTCGTTTCACTTCTTTTCGTTCTCTCCTGTCTTACTCTCCTGACTACTCCAACTACTGCATTTACACATATCACTATTATTAATATTATATACACATATGTGCGTATACATATCAAACTCAGATGTCATTAGATTTCTGTTTTTACGTTTTCCTAATTTCTTTTTCTCTCTTTTAGTCTGAACGACCTACACTAATTATGCCTGTTACTATTGTCATTAATATTATCTCTTTCCTTTTGTCGAAGACACCAGAAGACTGACTGGTGAAAGAGCAAACTCCATTTACAGTAGTAACAAAGTCTAAACACACGATATACTACAAACAATATGTGATCAGTCTCAGCACTGCTCCTTTTGGAGTCAACCATATCTACGACAGTCGAGTGGAGGGATGAAGTACACAGAAGTTAACGGAAGACCAGGAACCTATACCTCACAACCAAGGAGCGAGCAAAAAGGTATCACATTAGTTGACTGTTTCTATTCATTAGATTGAGAAGAACAAGAAGTTCAGTAAAGATATCTTTTCGGCGATTTCATTCTCAAGAGCAGTACAATCGCATTTATGTAGATAAGTTTACATGGATACAACTCTTATTTGTTTAATTCCACATAGTAACGAAGGTGATAATAATCTTCAACTTGATATGAAAGTTTGAAGGTACGAATATAGATTACAAGGGGCTCAGAGACAAGATTGCATAAGATTAGATAACAGTTACAACGTATGCAAAATTAATATTTGATAACTGGAGAAATAGTTTGGAAGGCGAATAAAAAGGTGATAATTGTTTTAAACTTGATATGAATTACAAGTGGCTTAGAACGAATTACAGGTGTGAACAAAAGGAGCATGGAAACAAATTGAAATCAAAATTTTCAACTTGAAATATAAGTCAGGAAGTGTGAATATAGATTACAAGAGGCATAGAAACAAAAAATTACACAGGATTTTTAATTGTAAAATGGTTATTCTAAACGGATTACAAGCGTGATCAATAGGAGCATAGCAACAAACTTAAAATAACTGATTTTATAACTGAAAAAATAGGATGATTTGAATGAAGGTAAAGAGAGAAAATCGCACACGCAGATAACAAAACAAAGAACTGAAGGATAAGGGAACATACTGAACTAGGTCCATGGTAGTTGTAAAAGCTGGACTAGTTTCTTTTAAACCCATAGATCCGGCTTTTCGATGCATATGGCGAGAGCTTCCGCAGTACAAAGAAGTTGGAAGCACACTGTCTTTGGTAGATTTTTGTTTATTTTGTAAATGACTCTAAATGATGAGTCGGTTGAGATTCTGTGACAGGTATTGACAAGATGTTCAGTAATTGCGCTCCTGATTGAACCAGTGCCTCCTCTGTGCAGCCATGCTGGATGATGTTCTCTAACACGTTTTGATATGACCCGCATAGAACGACCAAAGTACCTAGTTCCGCAAGAGCAGGTGAACTGATATGTGCACATTGAAGTGGTCATATGCTGAAGTCTATCCTTCCTATTGCTCCGAAGTAGTGGGCGGCTAGAGAATATCACTCTTACAGTTGCTGCCGGAAAATTCTTCTTCAGGGATTTGGAGATCTCCTTTTAAGGACATCTGCTGCTAGGTCTCCCCTGAATTCCAGATTCAAATAGAGTGTCTTCTTTTGAACTGAAGTGTATTCTTCTCTTTTTGGCCTTGGTTTCATGTTCTTCTCCACGAAACGCGGTGGGCATCCATTTTGAACCGGGACGCTTTTTAGGAATAGGAGTTCTTCTTCTAAACAGTCATCACTACAAATTCTTCTGGTGCTGTGGGCTAGCGAGATGATGAGAGCTCTTTTACGACTGATAGTTATCCAATTGTAGAAGTTTGTCACCTGGCCCTTCCATGTTGGTTTTCTATAGATAAATTTTTTCAGAGTTCCGTCATCTCTTCTTGTCAATTCGACGTCGAAGAATGGAATCTTTGATTCATTTTCAACTTCCATTGTGAATTTAATTGAAGGATGGCAGTTATTAAACTCCTGTAAGATACAATTTATATCGGAATCATAATGACAAACTATAAAAGTGTCATCGACGTATCTTTTGTATAGCAGCAATTTGTTCGTTGTTGATTTTAGGATGCCGTTTTCCATGCTGGCCATGTTTCTGTTCAGTGTACGATTTTGTATATAAAACGTTTAAAATGTTCATACAAATATATGCGGCAGCGAAACCAGATTTAGATTAACCAGAATGCATGCATCCATGTAAATCGTGGATAAATATAGCTGAAGTTATATTCGTTACCTCCAAACTTTGTTCATCATACTCAAACAAATCACCTTGACAGGGATTGCGCGCACTTTGTCCTCAGTCACTTGAGGACGCTCACTTTTGGTTTGCAAAACATTTTAGGCGGGTGAGATGCGTTTGATTGTGTAAAAGTCTATAATATTATTTGGCTTATTTATTCTCTGTACTGAAACATGGATGTGTGGATTTAAATTTTACGGGGAATGCTTACAATCCAATCACCAACAATTGTAATTGAAAACTCAAAATAATTAACAATAGCAATGCTCTAAAAACTCATTTGAAAACTAATCTTAACATTAATTTGACCAGCTTTATATGAGGAAAATTGCATACGCTAAATTACAGGAAAAGATCATGCTGAACGTAGCACGGAGACAATTAAAAACAGTTTTATGTATTTTCTGAGAATTTTCGTACTTCTGTGATTTGAACATTCGACTTTATCGTGTCACCTAGATTACTCAAACTTTGTTCATGTCTTCTTTACTGATGGGCTATTATTAAGTGCCATCGCATCATGTGTACCTGAATATCTAGTTTATAAGTCAAGTAACAAACCCTCGTTTGCAGTATTCAAAATAAGTGGAAGACATGAAAAGGCTAGCTGTCGTTGGTGCCTACTTTCTACCTCCCACGTTAAGTAGTATAATAGAGTGAGTAGTATTGAAGTCAGGCGTCGAGTGATCGGTAAGGAGGGACGTTGTACAGCTACATGGATTGAGATAATTAGGACATGTGTCACGCATGCCTAGTCATCGCCTTGCTCTATGTGCAATGTTAGCTGATATAGAATCAAGTTGGACAACAGCTAGTGGTGGACAAACCAAAACTTGCAATCAGTTCATGAAATCTACGACAGTTTGAGTCATACAGGGAGGTATAGATTCCTGGTTAGGGTCGTCGGGATGGTAAGTTCCAATTCCAAAGTGATGAATTGACTCAAAATCGTCCTCAATGGTGAATATGTGTTCACTCTCTGTGATCTACAATATCCAAAAAACCATAGTTCTTCTGTCACTATTCTTCCTCCCTCACACATCTACTTATTATCGTTCTTGCGATACTCGTTTTCCAATATATTGACATTTTTTCAAACAACTGACTTTATACTGAGATGGAGTTCGATTTGACGTACTATCTTCTGTCAGAAATAACTCCTTTTCACAAATTATGACCCACAATATACATCTAATGTATGATTTCTTGGATTGGATCATCTTTCGATAGGTTGTCATTTGTCACCTCTGCTCCTTGTAAGTGTATGCTAAAGACTGACTCTGATTGCTTGACTGCCTTAGGTAAATCTTACACATATGCATTTGATAAAGTTGCAGTAATTTAAAACGCCGGAGAAAGGAATACAATGACATTACAACACATGAACCCATTTGAGAAGGGGAGTAATTTAAGAAAGAGCAGTGAATATATTCGAAATTTCGAATCTGAACGCTACTGTGCAGTGGCAAATAATCTGTTATCTTTCTTCGGTATCACGACGAATCCAGCTTGGCACCTGAAGTCTCCATATGTGGCTCATATTAACAGTCTGAGACTTCATTGGCTGGTGGGTCAATTCTGGAAATGAACTCACATATTACCTCAACTGATGTCCATCGTGGAATAATGTATTTCGATACCCGCATCTTGTCTCAGATATACCAATCGACAAATTTTGTTATGCACAATGTCGTCCTGGACTATCTTTGTTTTTTGAGGGTGAAAATGTAGTGGTTCTTTCGTGGTAAGTTGGTGATAGGCTTTACAACGATTGCACACAAGATTTTCTAAATTGATTAGGTGTTCCTACTGGTCAACTCCTTCCATTTAATATGGAAAAATAGTGTACTAGGGTGTGAGGCAGTTCCGTATTATTCCACATAGCGACGTTATCCCATACATGATACTCAGCCTCCGATTGACAGAGTTTGGAAACTTCATGGGTTATCATCTGGCTGCTAGTTTTCGTGAAATTCAAATATGCTCACAATGGTTGAATAGTTAGTATAGGTTGCGATCCTCCTATTAATAGAAGTATTTTTCCTGAATAAAACAAAGTTCTTTAGATATTAAGATTTTTGCTTTCGAAGTAACTTCATGCACGTTTGCAGCTAGCGAAGGGTGTTTGGAGATGTTTTATTTTCGGTTGCCTTAAGACGCTGAGGTACTAACTTAAGCTAGTTGGTTCAGTAATAAAGCTTAAGCTATTATTTTTGTACTTTCTTTTAACGGTACTCAAAGTTTGCTGTACTGTTTGCCGGTTAACGTGTATTTGATAATTTTAGAGAAGTCAAATAATAAGTTAAATCAACTGAGTTTTACTAAAAGCTTTCTAACTGCCTTGCAGGACACTGTGCGCGAAAGAATTATGCGACGCTTATTTTGGCGAAAAAATAACTTGTTAATCCTTGGAATTGTGTGCTTTGCTCTAATGTTAGTTTTATGGATAAGTACAGACAAGCTTGAGCATAATAAGGTTCATGAAGACCGTGCGTATCTGCCTGTTGACAAAGCACCAGAGGATGCGCTTAAACGAGGTGTTGACTCTCAAGGACTAGATGCAGCCTATAAGTACCACGCGGAAAATCCCATTCCAAGACCAGTGGCTAATGCTCCACAGTTTCCAAATGTCCGCCTACATCCCCCTATCGATAAAGATCCGGGTAAGTTATCCATGAAGTATAATATGATTAATGTTACTAATTATTTTCTTCTATTAGCATGTCCTTGTGATGCATCTGTTTCGTTAGCCTTCTTTCTTCACTCTTCATTATTCTTGTGTCTGGATAATGATGATCGAATGTATAATATCCACTGTGAACTTAATGAAATTAATTGTAGAGGATCTTATATGCTTATCGAACAGCTACCTCTAGGTTTATTCTATAAACAGTTACAGTAGTAGGACTGTTCTCACTATTGTACAAATATTCTCATTAATATGAATTCGACTTCTCCTCGTTGTATCTTCCTCTCTATTTTTACATGGCTGTATTTCCATTTCTCTTTTTCGGTGTCATTGGAAGATTTGAAGTGGTTTAATTCTGTTCAAAATTTCACGGTGACGTTTTGGTCTTTATGTTTAATATTCGGGGTATCTTAAAAGTCTTTGTTTGTCCGATTTTATTTATCCTAATATGTGTTCACCGTTAACTTTCCTTTGTGTAACTTTGCTAGGTGCTTCAATTGGAACAGTTACACCTTTGTATAATATTCCATTTGATTACGTTTGCCTATTTTCCTACCTGTTCAAGAAGTTAATACCGGAATATTACTGTAGAATTTCACGGTTATATATGGTGCGCATCTATCCCATTGGAAATTGAACACCTTGTCAGGGTAGTATTCACCTGAAGAAGATATACCGTGTCACTTTTTGCCCTTTCTTATACAAATAGTAGGTTTGTGTGTGTCTCTGAAACATCTTATGCATGTCTAAACTTCATGACTGTAGCTTAAATATTTCACATGGAAAAGGTTTTTGCTGTGTTTCATATCTGATTGATCAGAAGTTGTGCATCTTCAACATACTTGCTATTCCAGTTATTCATTTGAGTGAAAACTGGAAATAAATAGTCGAGGTGGCAAAAAGAATAAACACTTGGTTGTGTCTGTCTCTAGTGCCTGATTGTTGTAGGTTATGAAGCCTTTATTTGACAGTTTTACTTTTGTTTGTTTTCATGCCTGACTACTTTCGACTTTTCACTCCGTCTGCTTAGTTTGATGGTTTGAAGTGTAATAAGATTTAATTGTGTCATATCCTAATCTGGGCCTTGATTATCATTATGCATTCAGTCCATCTTTCTCCTTGTCTATCTTCTGTCAACCTTGACCTTGTTGTTTTGTATTCTTTTGTGTTAACTCGCTTGTCTCGTAGATGAATTGGCTCAACGTACAATGATTCGTGGGGAGTTATGAAGCTGTAGTTCACTGACTTGGACACCTGACTTTCATCTCAGTGTCATTAACGAAGTCGAAACCATGTGCGTTTGATTGTTAAGCTGAAGAACCAGTATATGCTCGATTGTCTATGAATATCTGTTTTATCGGAAAGGATATCCTACTGTAAGGTTGGACAAGACCACAAGTATTCAAATAAAAAGCATTCGGTGGTACGACATAGTGTATTGTTAATCGGTGCATATAAACAAGCCCATCAGGAAGGTTTCAAATAGTAGTTTGATGGATAAAGGAAGAAACATCCACCTTGGCGAAAAATGTAGGAGGCGGAAATGTTAACTATTTTAAGGTCATAAAGAACGAATACATTGCATGATCTTGAAGGATTTTATGGTTTGTCACCGTCGGTGTTTAGCAATTCACTTCCAATTTTCTTGAGGTTTCCACCTAGACAGTCGGTATTTCGTTCATACAGTTCAGATCAAAAATCAGAGACACTACATGTACAACTCATTCAGACTTGATCAATTTTTCCCTTTTGTTTCGTCTTCTAAATTAAAATCACATAATCGTGTCAACTTTATTGTTATTATTACTATTATTATCCAAACACAAACTTGACGTTTTATGGAAACCAAGAGATACGCCACATAAATAATATTAAAACAACAATATACAAGGAAAACAGAGAATGAATGAGAGAGGCCATTCAGTAAGCAGGTGAGCATATTAGTCAGTGTCATCCATCATTCATTAATTCATGTTAGTTTCCAAAAGGGTGAAGGAGGGAAATTGCACGATTTCCGCCATTGACTGTGATTCTCAACCATATCTGATAACGTCTCGATCCACCGATACGAATTCAGACTACCAACTGTAACCACTCAAGTCGGCCAAATGGATCAAGATTTCAAATAAGAATGAGAGGCTTGCGAAAGGGGAGGCACTCGGAATAGTAAAGCTGACGTAAACAAGGTTGAAAAGGATCACATTGCTAGAAATATGATCGGAGATATAGTCTGTAACAGTGAGTGCATGATTATAGTCTCTCATGAAATTGTTGTTTCATAATTTTCACCACATAAAAATCACTTCTTAACTTTTGTCTTTATAGTTCCTGGAAAAGTACAACTAGACCTTGCGAATAAAAATGATAATGATGATAAACTTCATTTTCGTGATATAATACCTCCTGCTGATGAACCTGAGGAAGACAATGCAGTTATTCAACCTATGGATTCTGACAAAAAAGTGGACCAACAACATGCCAAGTATGCTGAGCATAGTAACTCAAACGGGTTATCAGCCATTGCAAAATTGGGTTTATTTCCGAGTTCTCCACCTCCAAAAAGCGACGAACATTCAACCGGTCCTGGTATGTATATCTTTCAGCTGTTATATGTATATGCCTATATAGTTACACATCATAGTATTGCTACTTCTTATTTAGTCTATTCCAATTTATTTCGATACTGCATGCTTGGTAGACTTCAACAATGCAGAGGAGATATTTGTTTGTGTCAGATACGTATCCACAGTGTGGTGTTTTAACCACTTTTTAAATACTGGTAATACTTAATGCGAGCCTTACTGTCGATAAAGGTGCAAATATCACTTAGTATGATTCATTAGGATCTTGAAATTAATATCTTTTGAGATGTTTCAGTTTATGAGGTAATGAGCGTTCTGTCATTATTATTATTATTTATCTTCTTTAAAACAGTAACTTGATACAATTCGGCCATCATAATATGCACAACACAAAGTGATAAAATAAGAATATAGGAAAGAGAGATGCAAAAAGAATCAAGACCAACTGAAGAGAAACTAGTAAGCATGTTTATCATGAACATGTACAGAAGTGCTTCCGTTATTTCAAATAAATTTCAGAAATAGAGGAAAGGAAAGGAAGTTGTAGGATGTTCGGCATTGATTTCTATTCTCAAACATTTTTAGTCAAGTCCCAAATCAACACTTTGCATCAGCTGTTGTAACCCAATCCAGGAGTTGTGGTGTCATAACAGATGCTAATCCAATACAAATGTCATTCGCGAAATATACCCATTAAGACATTGAAATAAGAACAAAGTAGTTCAGCGAAGAGTCTCTTTTCGGCGAATTCATTCACTTAGCTGTACAGTCGCAAATATATATACAATTATTTTGTGTGTGTGTGTGTGTACATTAGGTTTGTCAAAATCAAAATAACAGTTAGTGTGGGTTGTTGATTATATCATCAAAATAATGAAGAAGTTAACATGTGTGATTAATAATCAAAGTTGTAACTAAGTGGGGTGAAGATTGGTAAGATGTGAGTAGGGTTACGTAATATGGACATGTTTAGAAAGATTAGATGCTAGTGAAGGAGTTTGGAGACAATTATGAAAATAAACTAGATAATAGGTGAAAAGATTGAATGGGTTAGTTACTAAAAATTGTTATACGAAAAAATTGCAAAAAACTGCAGAAAAAATTTGATAACAAAATGTTGATGACAAATAAACTTGGAATTAAACCCACGGTAGTAGGAGGGGGTGGGTTTAATTCCAAGTTTATTTGTCATCAACATTTTGTTATCAAATTTTTTTTTTGCAATTTTTTCGTATAACAATTTTTAGTAACTAACCCATTCAATCTTTTCACCTATTATCTAGTTTATTTTCATAATTGTCTCCAAACTCCTTCACTAGCATCTAATCTTTCTAAACATGTCCATATTACGTAACCCTACTCACATCTTACCAATCTTCACCCCACTTAGTTACAACTTTGATTATTAATCACACATGTTAACTTCTTCATTATTTTGATGATATGATCAACAACCCACACTAACTGTTATTTTGACTTTGACAAACCTAATGTACACACACACACACAAAATAATTGTATATATATTTGCGACTGTACAGCTAAGTGAATGAATTCGCCGAAAAGAGACTCTTCGCTGAACTACTTTGTTCTTATTACAAATGTCATTCACATGTGGCATGGTGTTGCATTGTGGACTAACTACCTTTCCACTTTTCCACTTAGTTCCAGGGTTAGTCAAGAGTGGACAGTTTGGTAGACACTGGAACGACATTCCTTATGCATTTCTAGCCACCGAAGCGCGTGTTCCAAGGTCACCCCAAGTACTATTTGATGGGGGAACACAAGCTATCAAAACTTAGAACAACTTACTTGATAAAGTTTCCTGAAGCAAGCAATTCTGCAGGTCAGTTGTGACCAGACACACAGTCTCCACACATCCTTAACTCAAAGACACAAGTTCACAGTCTGTACCTTCTAAGAAATTGTGAAACCGGTATTTTACGGTAAGAATAAAATACTGATGGTGATAGGGGTAGCCCATGTTGACGTACTCTGGCCTAGCTTTCACTACACAGATAGAAATTACACTCGTCACACAGTCAATAATCAAATAACTACCATAATACGTGAAATCCACAACTCCTTCTAATGGTTCGACTGTAAGAGAGAGAGTTCAGGCACAAGTGTCTGCCAATCTTACAACATGACTAATAGTTCCCTAAGGTGTATGTGAAAAGTCGTAGAACTGTATGAACAAAGGCATCTTTGGACAGTTACAGGTACAGGTAGACCAAGAAAATGCTTTACAACGGACTGTCTATTTCCACTTTTCCATGGAACTAATTCAAGCAGAAGTAAGATTGTTGTAGACCGAAATGTCTGAAAATACAAGCCTAATTGAACAGTTATCAGTTCAAGTAATGTGATTTACCAGGTATCAGGAATTAAAGAAACTGAAATTATTCTAGACGGCGATGTAGAATCCTTGTTTTAATCAGCAATTATTCAAATATTTCGTCTTACTAAGCAGTAATTTATCGTTCATAATTCTGTAATTAGTTGTAAGGAAGTGAGACACGAATAATGGTTGTCTACTCCATATGAATCAATGAAATCGCATCCATTTTCTAAAATTTGTTTATGTTTCATTTGGGGTATAGGAAAATATCTTTCATGTAGCCTTCCTAATGTGTATGTAGTTTTGTTAGCCTCTGTTATCGTATTGTTCATTTTTATGTTTGATCGGTACTAATGCTTTCCTTATTATTGCTATTGTTATGTTCATTTGTTGCAAGCATACCATCTGGTAGGTATTCCTGTCTCAATTTAAGATATTATCACTAATAATTATTTGTTTGATGATAAAAACGAAATACTGCATACGCATTAAACGGCTGTTTCCCTTGATAAATGATATTTAATCTACTCATTTGAATAATCGCCATAGTCATCAAGGGAATCTAAAGTAGAAAGATCTTTTTGATCGTTAGTTTCGTCTGGCAAGCGTCTTTCTCACAGTGATTTTTTCGTTGTATCGTAGTATTCTAGTAATCATTCAACTTGCTTACTCGATTTCTGTAGTTCTCCTTTCATTGTATTCAGTGATGATATTACCCCCAACTAGTTTTACCTTGTGACATATGCAGTTTCTTTTTCATTTTGGACAAGGCGAAGGTGGTAAAGCGTACAAAGTGGAACGTGATGAGCTGCCACCAGCTGAACGTGAAAAATTCGATCAAGGATGGAAGGATAACGCTTTCAATCAATATGCTAGTGATCGTATCAGTGTTAGACGATATTTACCAGACTATCGAGAAGGAAAGTAAGTTAACTTCTATGCTTTGAAACCTTTTGGTTCGAGACTTTAATGTCGAAAGTATACTCTTTTGTATTTAGTTTGTTTTTTTTGTACAGAATGTAGGTTGTTGGTGAATTAGTTTGTCGTTTGACTGGAAACAGGTAGAAACGTTCAGTAATTCTTTTTCCTAGGATCTGTCTGTTCTATATTCTTTTAATATCCTGTGGTTGTGGTTGATTCGTTCATGAGTTGTACTACTAGCTAGCAGGCTTTGCGTTGAGAAAACTCTTATTGATCTGATAAAGTATTCGGTGACCAACTAGTATCTCACAGTGTAGTGTATGCATTCTTGAAGTCTCATCCCCAGAGATTTTATAGTAGTGATTGATTTGTAAAAGTGTTTTCAGGTTCATATTTCAGAAAAGGGGTATTGTTTAAATGGTAATCACCAGACTCATTTCAACTTTGGACTCAGCCAAAGCGTATCAATGTAAGTTACAGTTTCAGCGGTTCAGTAAAAGACTTGCGTTCAGTCTAAATCACGTTCTTGGATAGTTATCACTTGTTAATCTGTGAAGTCGTACGTCTACACTGTAATGGATACTGGGAAAGAAATAGAAAATCCCTGCAAGTTCTGTTTGTTGGTGAGAATACTAAGACTGTGTGGTTGCTAGAAAATGACAGTGTTACTTCTCATGGAGAAGTCTGGTACCATTTCTACTCTGTTGTAAAACATTGTGGGTTGTTGTTTTTGGCTATTGGAGGGAAGGTGCAAAGAGTCCATGAATTCTAGGAGGGAGTATGCTTAGAAAGATCTTTGGTTTTCCCCTTGGTTACGCAAAACATTTGATAAATTTGCTTATAGTCCTGATACATGTAGGTAGTGGGTTTTGTGAACACTTTAAGTCGTAGAATTGAGAATTTCTACTATAAATCTTCTACTACTTATCTGTAAATTTTTATTTCAAGATAAGTGTGTTTGGATATTGAACGTAACCGTGTGCAGTGAAGTAGTTGTATACCTCAAGCATTGCTGTTACCTAGGTATTTTGATCAACTCCAATGGGTTAGTTATCAATGAAATTTCAATACGGTCGCAAAACATCCATTTGTTTTTTGTCATACTTGACCGAAAAGCTTCGTCTGTCAAGTAAACTTTACATGTGCTGGTAATTAGTTCTCTATTTCCCAACGCGTGGATGCAAAACATGGTTGTTTAAAATAAATCTGTGAAGGCTGCAAATATCTGTTCTCTGACAGTTGTGTTTGTAGAGTCGATAAATGAGCAGTGTAAAAGTTGGTTGTATACTTCTGGATAATATGAGTAATTCAGATGAGGAAGGTGCGAATCTCTGTAGTTCAAATATTCTGGAGATATATTTGACACCTTAAAAGTTACTGTCTACCCCGAAAATAAAAGTAGAATGACATTTGAAGAAATATATGAATGAGAAGATGAAGAAAAGACCCCAATCCATTAAATCGCTATCAGTCTCACCGTGTGAGGACGTCTAGATTGTCTGACGTGGGTTTACGTGGATGTCATAGAATATTTTCCGAGAATTCAGGCTATGTGACTCACAATCAATCATCATGACACAAATCCCTTCATGTCTTCATTTCAGTTGTGGAAGTGTGGCTGATTGGTCTTAACAGTCAACCTTACTTAATGTTTAAACATGGAGCGTGACAATTCGAAGTGTAGTGCACCACTGCTAGGTCTTGTGTTGATAACACCATTTGGTCAGCTGTCTATTTTCTCAGTACAATGCTACCGAGGTTATTTAGATAGCGTTATCTGGTAATTTGCACAAATATTTAAGTAGAAATATTCTAGTCGTCACGGTGACTATTTTTAATATGAGTGTGGGATTCGCGTGAGATAGTTTGGTCTTTTACCAGTAATCACTCGTCTACATGTCAGTACTTATAATTTTGGAGTGTATTGTCTTTTTAGTTCAAATGGGTTGTATAACATTTGAGTATAGGGCAAAATAGGCATGTTTGCAACTCATGAACACATTCAGTTGATAAGATTTGGTTAGTTGTTTTCTTTTAAGCAGAGTACCTTAATAATTGTATTTGTTAGAGAACTATTCAGGATTGCAATGCACTGGACGTCTGTTTCATTCTTGTTGTGGTCTCCTGAGAAATGCGTGTTCGTGACTATCCAAGGGACTACACTGAAGGTAGTTAAATTTTGAGTCAAGAACAAGACCACTTAACCACTCAGAAGAAGTCCGTAGGCTAGTGAATTTCAGCAATCTCGGAAATAAAAACACTAAAGTTATCGTTGAGTCAGGGAGGAAAACTTGTTTAACCCCTTCGGTCACGAATTATTATCATTATTATTATTAAAGTTTCCCGAAGCTATTTGTTAATTAATGCTGACAGGGACTTGTCTAGTATCAAGTAATTAGTTCGTTATTTGAAAACGATTAGTTCGAAATTGATCTTCATATTCGCTTCGAAATGCCAACTTTCTTTAAACAATTTTCCATTTTGAAATCAGCGCATTTATTATTAACGTGATCATCGATATACAATAAATAAATAAAGAGAGTAAAGTAGATGGTATTACTAATAATAGTGATAAAAGAGCATAGCAAATTGTTATTGCCGTATAGACATTTAGTGAATCATCACTAATTTGTCCATCATCAATGCCTGTTAGCTATTAATTGACACACATTCAATCGATTACACCACAGTATTTATAACATTGTCCCACTATTAACTGTATTTGAACTTTGTAATGTTTAATGACGCAGTGTATGTGTATATGTGAAACTTTGAGTTGATTTAAGTCTTTTTTTTCTTATATCTCTGAGGGTTATTTGGTTGTAACAAGATTTCGTTTGTGTGTATTTGTAAAATAGATGTTTAAAGTGAGATGATAAATGTGTTTGATGAATTCACTATTTTTCGAGTGATAGTTTGTAGGGATTTACCCGTGGATCGATATCAGTTAGAGAATCATTGAAAACCATCAATGTTCGTTAGTAACTGGTTACAGGACATAGCTGCCTGTAGAGAGTTCTAGTTAGAAGTCATGACCAGTGAGGTCAGTCAAGTAGTGAGTGGGGACAAACACTTACCGATGAGATTGGCTGGTGGTGTTGTTAAAATCACAAATCGACAGAAGTTAGAATTCATAGGGTGGCCATTGAGTTGTGTCCTGGTGGCTGAATGGTCTAGGAGCTTGACTTGTAACCAGAAGGTCCTGAGTTTGAACCGTGGTGGTGGATTCGTACTGCCGATAAGTACGAAACTAGGAAGAGACAGATGCCCAGTACTCCGTGGTTTTCAGTGGTTCTCTAGCTGGTATCAATCCGCGGTCAAACTGGAATTCATTATTGAACAAAGTGTGGAGTTCAGGTGTAGTTTGTTAAGTGGTTCGGTTGACGAATGTGTCAAACCCCATTTGGTACATGTTTTGCACACAATCAGTCCATTGTTTACATGAATGTTGTATTTTACTGGATATAGTGAATGGTGATCATCTTAGAATGTAATATCGATAGTGTTGGCATGTCTAACTAGTGAATTAGTTTACTAAACTATCTAGTCATTATTCTCTTTGTTAACTCTTAAATATTTCATTGATTTGACGTTTTATTTCTACTGAGTGGGTGTAATGGCTTGAGAACTTAACTTCCAACCATTGGGTCCCTGGTTCGAATCTCACTTCACCTGCTTTCAGTCTGTGCAATTGAGTAGTATCATGAATCCTTACACAAAACGTGTAGCTCGTAGCCTGCCACTTAAAGGATCTGTTTCGAGTAAATGAGTTCTAACTGTTTAATTTATGACATTAGTTTCGGCAAAAGAAGCACTCTGGAAAACTCTTGCCCATCAACCAGTTAGATACAGCCACCTCAAGGATTAACCTACCTGAAGCATTACACTTAATGAGGCGAATTAAAACACTTGGGAGGATAAAAACTGTATTCTTTTTTAAAATTATTCAGAGAAAAGATAAGTACATTGCAGCTGGCCTCAGGTCAATCAGAAGTAGAAATTCGTTAGTTCTTTATACTATCATTGTAGTCTTCTGACTTTTGTTAAACTATTCAAACCAGCTGAATTTTTCGCAGTTCATTACATAAAATGCAACTCTTATTTTAGAGGAAACATTTACTACTTTCTTTTTCTTTCATGTAATTACTTACTGTAGATTTCTTATTATGCTGGCTCCGATTTGAGTCAGTAACTTGAAGTGAGACGTTCTACTGTTACCTCAGTTGTTTGGTAGATGCGTTCTCATCATCTAGAGTGTACACCCATAGTAGCACGTCGAACTTCCTGACAGTACGATTGCAAATGTGATTCGTAGATTTCGTCATAACCCAGGAATTTACACCTGTGTCAGTCACCATTCGACAATTTTTTGAATGTTATATGCATATAAATGCGTATATATACCTATACTAGTTCACTTGGTCTTGTGGAGCTGAGTACGTTGGCCGTACCATGCGTCCGCTTGTAAAACGCACTTAGGAACATCATCCAATCTCGCTAGCAAACTGAGAGCTTAACTGGGTACATAGTTCAGTGACAGAACATTTGGTGAATTCAGGACATCCAGCTCCATTCGAAAAGTCCTTCAAAGTCACACACGAGATCCGAACAAACTTCTCAGAATGAGTGAGATCAAGGCATTTGGGTATAAGTGAGTCACTAGTAATCGAAAAGTTGAAGCCCACGCTATGCATTCAAGAGAAATACATTCAACCGTTGTCTCTACCATGGCCATCATAAAAAGTCAATTCTTTCAATAGTGATTGATTGTCCTACTATGTTTTTTTTCTATTGGAACTTCCTGTCTAGTTTGTTATTATTACATTTTTAACCCCACAATTTCATAGGAAGTCAATTTTCTCAGTAATTATGATACTAATTTGGTTTTTATCCGATCTTCCTGTTTATTATTACACTTTAATCCCTATTTGCAATTTACTAATAATTTGACTGTTGACCGGAGATAGTTCTGTAACTTTCTCACCCATTTACTACACAATACTTGAATGTACAACCTAGTTGATAACTTTGTCCAGCGGGAAATGTTCTTCTCTGCAATCGTCTTTCCGAAAGGTACATATGTGCTATGCTTGATCTGTCTTTGCTGTGTATCCTAAACTACATGGAGCTGTTTTAATGAAGGCTGGATGATAATATGTGCATTTAACACTTTTAATGATTGAATATACAATGGTTCTCTAACTGATATCAATCCGTGGTCAAATTTGAAACCAATCGAATCTCTAATCAAATTAATGAATATAGTTCATGAGCTAACATTCTGTGATTCTTGGTCTACTAAAACAGAATCATGCATATTTTTTAAAGAAGTTTCTCTTTCTTTTTCTACAATTTCTCATCGTGGATACATTCTAATTTTTGCTGTTGTTAAATTTAGGTGTAAAGTGGATACATACTCACCAAATCTACCGTCTACATCTGTTATAATCTGTTTTCACAATGAAGCTTGGTCAGTTTTATTGCGTTCTGTACATTCAGTGATCGATCGATCTCCAGCACATTTATTACGTGAGGTTATACTGGTTGATGATTTTTCTGATCTACGTAAGTTTTGATTTATTTCTGTACATAAGAGTGTTAGAATGTTTTTGTACACCTGCTTCAGTATTTAATTTTTGTGTGCATAAATAGGCTTTTTTTTTACAAATCGATATTAGGTTATTCAGGTTACTCATAATAATAAAAGGGTTGCCTATTATTCTAATTGGCAGTAGGACGGTTCACCTTCTATAAATTCTTGATTTTAATCCCAACGTTTTAGTCCGTATTATCGACCAAAGTGCCAGGGCATATTTTTGTAATCTTTAGATATTATCAGTCTATTCAATTGTACGACCATTTCTTAAGAGAATGTTCTGTATTGAATAGGTTATTGTGTAGTCAGGACAGTGATATCCTCTTATGTTGTCGACGATTTGCACACTGAAATGTCATAGGCCACCCTACGGTTTACGTTGGTTTATTATGAACGGATTAGCCATACTGTGTTATTGTGATAAAGTTTATCAATTCAATCTTTCTTGTTATTCTTTTCTATGTTGTTTTTTGTTTGTTTGTTTTTTTTTGCGAAAACTTCAGCTCATCTCAAAGAAGCACTGGAGGAATATATGCAAATGCTAAAAATTGTTAAAATTGTTCGCACCAAACAACGTGAAGGTTTGATTAGAGCTCGAATGCTTGGCGCGGAGCGTAGTACTGGTGATGTGCTTGTATTTCTGGACTCTCATATTGAATGTACTACAGGTATACCCTTGTTCTTTTATGTACAGTTATTGTGTCTGATTGACTTTTGGGTATAAGTAATTCACTTTTCTAGTACATTCCACCCACCAGCAAGTAAGCAAGTAAGCAAGCGAACAAGTAGTAGCAATAATAATAATTAGTTTTGAATAAGCATTAAGGTATACAAATTTCTTTTTTCATTGCTTGAGTTCCGAGTGGAACATCATAGGGCTTCAAACTTTGAAGTTCCGGTAGCGATGGTGTTCCTTTTACAGGTTGGGGTTGCTAGTCTCACTCCCAACCCTCTCTCTCTCCCTATCATCCTTCCAACTAGGCGAGGTTTACGAGTGAGTCAGCTGGGAATCGAACCGTGACTTCCTGCGTGGTTGACGAGCATTCTACTGTTGAACCACTGTGATACAATAAATAGTAATCAGTTGTAATTAAATACTAAGATATACACAAATAGTTGTTTCGATCCCCAAATTCGCATAGATGTCAGAAAGCTGAGTTGTAAGATTGTCAGTCTAGCGATTCCTTTAACTGATTTTCTACTCCTACCAAATAACTTCTTTTATTATTCCCTTCGTTCCTGAATGTTCTCATCATGTGCTATCCTGTTCTGTTTATCTGTGAGTTGTAAACCAATTAGTACAAGTTATTATTATGAAACGTCGTATTCTAAGGTGCATTAAACGTTTAAAATAACTGTATGTAACAATGTTCATTATTGTGCATTGCAGTAGCCTGCAGTAACAATAATTATCATTCATCAGTCTACAAAATATCTGTTTACTTGTAGCATCGTAGCATCTGTGTAGTCTAGTCAGCTTTGTGTTTATATTCATGTGAACACTTTGTCTCTGTCTCCGTCAATTTAAAATATGAAGTCATAACAACACGTCTTGTTTATATATTGTTATTATTATTATTATTAGATGTTAGCAATGATACTAATCAGACTGTAATTAGAGTAAAAATGAAAGTCTGTCGATAATTTTATAAGTTTTATTTACGATTTATGCTAGTCATTTAAATAAGTCATGTCTGTTTTATGCATATATATATGTATAACCAGTGTTTATTATTTCATGATAAGTTTTCTTTATGCCACTGAGCTGGTTTTTTTTCGAATAGGCTTTATATATATTGCAACTAACTATTTGTCATGGATTCACCCTCCGATATATTGAGTAGTCAATGTCATTTTGAGAAAAAGAAAGAATTTTTTATTTCACTCCAGATACCACTGTAAATGCTGTGTGTTGAGTTGAAGACATTCATTTTACGAATTGAGCTATTTTTGACAATGGGCGATGATGGCGCATATATTATCACTATTTTGATAATTTCAATTGTCTTCATTTAATTGCTGCCTCTTATGTGCATCTGTGCGTCGGTGGTTCAGTGGTAGGATGCTCGCTAACCATTTGTGTGGTCTGAGGTTCGATCCCCAGCCGGTGCACTCCATTACCTCACTTAGTCGGTTGTAACCCCGACAAAGTTGGAAGGTTGAACGTGGGGCTAGCAACCGGCATCCCGTAAATACATCACTGCTACTGAAACTTCAGAGCTGAAGCTTGAAGCCCTATGTTCCACTTGGAACGCAAAAGGAATTAAATAAATAATATGTACATCTGTGTCGGCTGCAGTTTTATTGCATTCCTTCTTTTCCTACTTCTATGTGTGGTTTTCTGAAATGTGTTGACTTAAGGTGTTATGTATTTTTGCTAAGGTCTACATGCCTAACTTAGTTTCTGAGTCATATAAAGAACTACATTTAAGTTGTGAAATAGAAACTATTATTTTTTCACTAATAGTATTATTATTATTCCCTTGGTTTGCCAGTGGAACATAAGGCTTCAGCAGCACACCGCTATTTCATCGTGCTCTCTACAGTCCATTTTTAGCTGCCTCTTCAATTTCAAATAAACTGTCCTTTCCTCCTGGCACGATCTCCTCCATGTGGCCATCCGATCCACGTCTAACTCGTTGTTTCCGATTCGGGCGTACAAAGTCCCTCAATCACACAGAAGCACTATCACCAAGATAATTAGGTGAAGAGAAGGTTAACCTAAAACGACGAGCCTTAGTCTCAGTCAAAAATACACTTCCACCATTCAGTATCGTCTAAAGTCCTCTAACAGAATCACACAGTTAGAAATGGAAAAACTCCCATATTGAAGTTGTGTAGAATTACAAGACTACACGTACACAGGAAAATCATCACTTCTAATTACCGTGGATTTTATAAATACTGTAACTGTACTACACAGCCTAATTGTCATCTTTCTTAGTCTTTCAAAGCGCGGCTTTACAAAGCATTAGCCAACTACTAAAAATATCCTAAACATTGGAAATATTAGCATAAAGGCAGGTTATTCAATATGGTGCATATCTTAGTATTATGAATGGACAATAATCATAATAATAATAATAATAAAAGAAAGAACTGCTCAAAGTAAAAGAAGGTATGAGAAATGCACAATTCCACGTCACCATTATCATCAGTATAGAAAACTTGTTAATAATTAAATATCTAGAGGTGAATGACAATTGGATGAGTAAAACAAAAATCAGAAATTCTTTCTTTTCACACAATAGATGGCAGGTACATAACGCACAAGACTATGCACACAATCAGATTAGACGAAAAGTCTTCATTCCGTAAATACTCAATTGATTTACAAGTGTACAGTTGACCAATAAAGAAGACATAGTAATAATAATAATAATAATTGTAATACATAATGAAATATTACAGTTTTATGCGGGTCAATAGAAGTTGAAAGCTTCATTCACTCATTCATTCATTGAAACTAGAAGTATTGATTACTTACTGAACGATAGATAGTTTCTTTACATTTTCGTATCTATGCGACTTAACCATTGAACATTGAATGTAATCTTTTCAAACAAAAATGTACTTGAACCTATTTGAAATAAGAGATATTCGTATAAATAGAAAAATTACCAAGTAATCGATAACCAAACTGTATGATGACTGTGAAGATGAAGTTTAATTAAGACAAATGTGACACAATGTTGAACTATATTAGTTTGTATAAGATAAATGGATGAGTAGAAGATGAAACATTCTTAAAATGACTTCGAGATTGTGATTACTGTTGTGAAGTTTATTAGAAGTCAATTTATTGGAAAGGTACAATATAATGAGCATTTACAATATAAGAATTCAAGTAAAGATCCTCGTGATAAGTCATTGGAGTATAAATGACTTCATACTGTCTCATCTGTAGTGTTAAGTAGTTCAACATTGTGTCACATTTATCTTAATTAAACTTCATCTTCACAGTCATCATACAGTTTGCTTATCGATTACTTGATAATTTTTCTATTTATACGAGCATCTTTTATTTCAAATAGGTTCAAGCACATTTTTGTTTGAAAAGATTACATTCAATGTTCAATGGTTAAGTCGCATAGATACAAAAATGTAAAGAAACTATCTATCGTTCAGTAAGTAATCAATACTTCTAGTTTCAATGAATGAATGACCCGCATAAAACTGTAGTATTTCATTATGTATTACAATTATTATTATTATTATTATTATTACTATGTCTTCTTGTAAATCAATTGAGTATTTACGGAATGAAGACTTTTCGTCTAATCTGATTGTGTGCATAGTCTTGTGCGTTATGTACCTGCCATCTATTGTGTGAAAAGAAAGAATTTCTGATTTTTGTTTTACTCATCCAATTGTCATTCACCTCTAGATATTTAATTATTAACAAGTTTTCTATACTGATGATAATGGTGACGTGGAATTGTGCATTTCTCATACCTTCTTTTACTTTGAACAGTTCTTTCTTTTATTATTATTTTATTATTATTATTGTCCATTCATAATACTAAGATATGCACCATATTGAACGACCTGCCTTTATGCTAATATTTCCAATGTTTAGGATATTTTTAGTAGTTGGCTAATGCTTTGTAAAGCCGCGCTTTGAAAGACTAAAAAAGATGACAATTAGGCTGTGTAGTACAGTTACAGTATTCATAAAATCCACGGTAATTAGAAGTGATGATTTTCCTGTGTACGTGTAGTCTTGTAATTCTACACAACTTCAATATGGGAGTTTTTCCATTTCTAACTGTGTGATTCTGTTAGACGACTTTAGACGATATTGAATGGTGGAAGTGTATTTTTGACTGAGGCTAAGGCTCGTCGTTTTAGGTTGACCTTCTCTTCACCTAATTGTCTTGGTGAAACCACCTAGTAGTTTGTGGAATAGACTATCACATGTAGAATATGTTTCATGATGTAGGAATATTCCTATGCGAATATACGGACATTCTGAAAGCTGTATGCAAATATATCTGAAGGAAATTTTAGAGTTTACTGTTGTAAGGGAGGGACAAGTTTCCTCAGTCTCAGCATCATTTCTTTTTAATTTTGTCATTTGGTGACATTCCGGAGATAACTGTGAAGGGAATATGTGTGGAGGATCGTTTAATTCTGTTGCCTCATGACAGTCCTCTTTATATTAAATGTGCAGAATGTATTGTCTTACAATGGCGTAGCATACAGGCTACTTCATTTGCAGTTAATCTAGTTTGCGTTTAGTATCTGTGTTCAGGAGTCGTTAGCTTGAGACGACAGCTGTGCGGACAGTGTTGTAACAGGAGGAATATTCGCAGTAGAAGCAGGTAGTTAATTTTGTTGTAGTGAATGGAATGCAGTAGGCAAATATCGAATGAATGAGTTCCAGGTACTGATAGATGTGTGTGGGAAGTTGGTACTTTCTGCCTGTCCACATCGGCTATTGGCGGATAATATCGTTGATTGTATTTTCTCATGCATCTTGTTTCGGTGGACAATGATCACATACTTTGATGCAGATTGTTGTTGAATTTTGAAACTGTTTTGTTCAGAGAATTAGATCTAGAACCAGGATGCTCAGGTGTAAGTTGACTACATCCTGTATTTTCAACGCTGTTTTCCTTCTATCGATTTTCCACCTGTTTAACTGTGCAGACAACCAGAATTAATTGTGTATTATTGTTTTTTCCAGGTTGGCTTGAACCACTCTTAGAGCGTATTGCTTATAATTCGTCAATTGTTGTTGTTCCTGTGATATCAACAATAAATGATAAAGATTTAAAAATTTATGTATCTAAAGCTCAAGATGTTCAAGTTGGTGGTTTTGATTGGGGTTTAACATTTCGTTGGCATGAACAAACTGAACGTGACAAAAATAGACCTGGTGCACCGTATTCACCTGTCAGGTAAGTGATTGGTGTTTTTATGCCTCATTTAAGAACTGCTTAATACTGTTAAGATTGTTTGAAAGTGAATTTCTGCATCCTACTTTGCGACAATCTATTGAAAATGCGATGAAAGTATTCTATGCTAATTATTATATAATTCGGTGAACATTTGATATTCATTTTGTCAAAGCAAAATATCCCATTCTTATTAATTAAAGAGTCATAATGCCTTTGATAGCACATACTTAGAAAAGGTTTGTAAACGAAATAGTGACAAACAGCCTTCATAAACTAGTTACATCCACTGAAACAGTTGTCTGTCATAACAATCAACTAAATATTTTATTGTTTCTAATTATCATTCCTTCATAGGTTCTTATCCTTTTAGATAATTGGGCGAAATATTTATAAGATTCGATAAAGTTCGTATTCATATGGTGTACTCCTCTATAAAAGATGAGTGCAACTAGGAACTTCAAATTTCCATATATTTGGAAGTGATATACATCTCATGTATTTTTGTACTAACATCTAATCCCAAAGTCTCTACCATTCAGTATTTCGATCTCCAAGTATGTAATGATCTTTCACTCGCGTTGATTTTCGCTACCAGCTACTCTCTCTCTCTCTCTGCATATATATATGTTCCAAACTAACACAGTTATGTGTATGCTATACCATAGCATACATTCGAAATACTGATGATATGTTTGTTCAAGCGCAAGCTCTCAGCTGGGATTCGAGTTCGGATGTTGTGTATTGCTGAGAAGCACCGTACCGTTAAACGATCGATGCATGTTCCACGATACTATGCGTTGCTCACAGGTGGTTATCATTGATTTTTAAAACCAGACTAAATAGCGATTCATTCTAGTTACTGTCACCACTTTAAGTTCATTCAACTGTTAAGTGTTCGTGAGCACCTACTGTTTATTTTAAGTTCAGACATAAATCTTCTAATATTTATGCAAATGTGTTGATATGACTACATCCGAAGTGTACGACACATCATAAATCAGTAAGCAGGAAGTCTTGAATTTAAGTTTTGTGATTGCCGGTTGTCGTTAACTAGGTATTTGTGGGAGGGGGGGATCCTGATGTCGTTTACATTTCTCATGAGGTTCCAAGCAGTTTCACCCATTGATGAAGTTAGAGACTTTTATGGTAAACTGAGATGTTGGTTGTTTTTATCGACTGTCCACATATACAACTTTTAATGTTTGATCACTGTGAAATTATATGCAGATTGAATGATTTAGTGTGACAGTGAAATACGGTTTATCTCAGTTATGTGGCATTTAAGTTGGTGACCAGTTGATCGGTGAGTGTCAGTTAGAATAGAATCTAGAGTTAAAACTGTGATTTTCTAGTGATTACTCATGAGTCATGATCTCTTTTGCTCAAAATACATGACGAGATTTCGCTTATATTTACGGTAACACTAGGTTACACGTAACGTCTCATTCAAAGAACACTTGATTATTTCGAACAATTGATATTTTTAGAACTATAGATCGTAGATTTACTAAACCCTGAGACTGGAATTCATGCATCGGTGACCTGTACATATTTTAGTAATTTCAAGCTATTAGGCCATCCATTTTAAAGCTTCGTTTAATGACTAACGATAGTGGTGTATCCGTCACATAGAGTGTGACAACTTACTTTTAGCTAAAGGTTAGATAGGTTTTGATGTTGAGTGGTAGGGTGTGGCACTATAATATTCATGTATGTCTTTGCTCTTGTTCAGAGTTACTCACCATGTCAGATACTGTTTTAACGTGGATACGGGATGGTAAAATTTGGTTATCCTGATTATACCTGATAGTAGACAGAGCTTCTATCTTCTCCACGTTGTCTGAAAATTAAACTGTGTGTTCATTATTGTTCCACTTCACTTAATTCATCATATTAATTCATTCTCACTTCTTAAAAATTATTTTGTTTAAATTGATGCTTGTCAGTTAGAAAGAATATGCGTTGAATGCATCTTTCGAGATGTCATTTTATTGAATAAGTCTTATTATTCTTTCTTCTCTAACATCTCGTTCGTTGATCAGTATTCACAAATTTATAACATCTAAATAGCCATAATTCTCTTTTCTGTTATTGTGAACAATTTATCGTTGGTGATTCATTATTTATTCTCTCAGCTTTATTTTAGTATATAGTGTATGTAATTTGTTTGTTTCGATTGATGAAAAATGACGCAGTTTGAGATGAGTAAATTGATCATTTCAATGTACACTGCGTCACAATTTAGATCGACCAGGGAGCATTGGGTCTTTGCTTCGTCGTAGTTTGGAATTCTTCAGCAATGAGTGGTTACGACCACACTGGAGATCGAACCCGGGACCTTCAGGCTACAAGGCCAACCAAGCTCGTCGCTCATTCAACCACTTGGGTAGGAATTCAGGGACCTGTGAATTCCAGCTTTTGTCGTTTTGTAACATGGCACTACCGCTGGGTGCACACTGATGAAGATTCCTAAAATAGAAGTGAATAGCTATCCAGTGCTGCTGGGTTTTCACTGCCTCTTAAGCTGATATTGGTTTGCAGTGAAGTCTACATTGTAACTAAGTGAAATGTAGTCGAACTTGATAATTGTTGACAAGTTCGATCTGTTGAATTCATTATATGACCTTAAACTCTGAACCAAATTGTAATTTGAAACAAACAAAAAATTAAAACAACTGTCACATTGATTTATTTTTGGAATAAATGTCTATATGATATGCAACAAATCGATGCAAAATGAGCATGATTAGATGATTTCTGGAGTTTGATGAGTGTCTCGTTGTGTGAAACTAATTGTAATAAGTGTTAAAAAGCGTTATCATCTACGACGTGTATGATTTTTATCACATACAATAATAAATACATATCCATCATAGAATAATTTAACTTGATACATAATATTCGGTGATACAGTATTATTCACTGATGGTGTTTCGAGTACAATTTATTGATTCTAATCAATCCAAGACACTGACAAGACACGAACTTCTAAACTTTGTTTATATAATTCCATTACTTCTTATACTTTAGTTCCGTTGTTAGTAATATTTTCCATATCGCTGATATTGGCGTCGAGTCATGGTTATCGTATGAGTTGGATGTAGATTCGATGAACAAAAATTCAGTGATCGATCAACCTGTATTACTCTCCAGTCCTTTAACTATGTCTCACCTTACTGTGAACTGGTTGTTATCTGAATGCCTTGAAGTTGCTGGATTTTTTTCTAAAAACTAGTGGAATAACATGAATAAGGTTTGTAAGTTATGTGAGTGCCCTGACATGATTATATGCAATACATTGTGCCCTAAACGTCATCAGTAAATAATCCTGTATCACTGCTTGTTTTCATCAAACACAATTATTTTATAATGAGATTTTACTCTACCAAAGTGTCCAAATTCCGTTCTTATACAGCATGTATTGATCAGTTAGATATCGCATATTGGGGTGATTAAATTTACGTCTCATTAAAGAGTAGCTGTTAAAAGTTTGTATATTTGTGGATGTACATTTGATCCATTTTGTAACTGAAACATTTGTAGTGGAGTTAGTGGAAGATAATTATTGTATATGCATATTGTTGCGTTGATTTCACAGTTGAGCGGAAATAACAGGATAGATGAAAGGCATTTAAAAGTCTTCTCTAAAATTTCCATGATTAAAATGAACTACACTTCATTGTATTGATTGATATCTGCAGTCATCACTTTCGGATAGCTGACATAAGTCAATCAGGAAAGCTATAATTCTTGATGTATTTGAGACGGAGAGTCTTCATACTTACCACGGTGACATTTTTTTCTATCCTCCCAATGTTCAGAGCGTATCTAAACCAGCTGACCTAATAAGAATCAGGCAAGCCAAGATTGTATATAAGACACAATTCTGACATCATGTGCCCGTAGCTAATGGTCTTTAGTTGGAAGGATAAATACGTTCAAATGTCGTCTAACCGTTTCCCCTCATGATTACATAAGCGTAAAGAAACACATCATTTTCTGATACAGAGACGATGTAAGTGTATACTATTCGACTAGGGTGAGGTAAAATACATGCACGCATACACACATACATACATGCATAGAAGACATTAACGGAAGAGGCTTTATCATATTGTCAGCATGCAAGCACCAGTTATTCCGAATTCCGAGCTACTGGTTATTGTTGTATTAGGAGGCATATGGAGCATGTGAGTCTAGTTTAACTCAGTTATTCCAACATGAACAGTAAGTTTCGGCTCTTCTGGTAATAAAGGACATTTAATACTTCCTTGAATCTCATTTGATACATTAAAAGAACGAACTCATTTAACAGAAGTCATTGATTTATAATCTCGTATTTGTTAGTGTTTGTTTCTTCAAACTTAAGCGATTCAGGTTTAGGGTACCAATACTTCGATGAATATCTAAATTGAAACATAAGCTAAGCAATTGTTTATGATATACATCCATTATTTTTGGGCGATTCAGAGGACTAACATAGCTTCTGATAATGTCATCACATGGTATGGTTGTTTAAATAACTAGTCATGGTTGATTGGCTTGAATCTCATGCAAACCACATGAATTTATAGTCTCTTTTTGTACCGTGATATACCTAACTAAGCCTACGGTTATTCGTTAAATATGATGTCTAACTGATCATTTGCCACACATCGTATGCCTCCTACATAAGTGTAAAGCTTAGCACGTAAATCCGTTACTGTGATATCTATCCTACGGATATTTATATTTATAGGTAGACGTAGATGTATATGGTATTTCATCAGACTGATTTTTACTCCGCCTACATTTGTGTTCAAAGATAATTACAAAAAATTGCGAACCAGCTGTATGGTGTAGCTATCTTTTCTATGAATTTATCAGAATAGTAGTCAGTCTATATCATGTGACGAAAGCAGTAACTTCAATATGTTAGTATTTTGTTTCACCGCTTTCGTCGCCTAGTCAACATGTTTGTATGCAGATAGTATTGCTGATTTCTAATTAGTTTCACTGTG